AAGTAAAATAGGTTAGGAAATCGATGCAAAACTTCATCTGCCTCAGGGTGTCCACATAATTTTGATACAAAGAAAAAACTTTCCATGAAAAATAGTTCGCTAAGTTAGAACGAAATCTTTTGCCGAAATGTCATTGTAGGTTATCGACCACTAGGAGTTGAATGGTGAAGGTTTCATAACACAAAAAGCCTTTAGCTGACTCCTGAGAATCGATTCTAGGGTGTCCACATACTTTTGGTACGCACTGTATTACTTTTCGAGGGTTGCACTTTCGAGGGTCACTGCGATCTCATAGTGGGCTGTTCATCACCGTCCCTCCTCTCTCCCTTCCACTATCAGTTCCTTGAGAACAAAATAAATCAGTGACTACCTCGACACCTCCGAACACGTACATTTCTCAAATGACTATCTCCTTTTCCAGTGCGAAAAAAGAATAAGTTAAAAAATAATCATAAATTAAAACAACTTTGGCAAGAAATCTTACATTCTTCTCTTCAATTCGTACTGTGGAGCCGCAAGGTGGAGGCGGGACTTTTAAGTCGTTAATTTCTGCTAAGAAGAGCGTGTTTATGAACGTAGATTTGCCGAGACCACTTCGCCCTTGAAAAATGGTTTTAGTTGACTCGCATTTTTTTTGCACTATTTCTACTGTCACTCACCTACAACCATTAATGTGAAGTTGAAGCCATTTTTAATTGCTCTGCGAAATACTTGATTAGGAAAGTTAGCGAATCCCCAATAATTCTGAGGCTCAGTCAATGGTGTTGAGCGATGAGAATCATCGAGCTTCGCTCGACTCATGACTGAAACAAACCATGCAGACATTGCGACAACAACAATAACAATGACACGTAGAGCAATCACACCACACTTCTATGGTCATAGCGAAGCCCAGCAAGCGAAAAATGTTTTCTTTGGCGCCGTTCAAGTGCCTTGAGTTTGCTTCCGTGTAAAATGATAAAAAAAAGTTGCAATCCTTCTATTTATAAAGCGCTAACTTGGTGTGTCGGTTTGTATGTATGTCTGTCTGTCCGTCCGCAAAATGAAGTGATATGGAAGCTAATGGAATAAACAACCGCTAACAGAATCGGGTAGCTTGCAGGACTTGAGCTATCAATGTTTTGAATGAGTTACCAATGTTTTTTGTAGTAGGATAACTGTGATATTACCCCTACGGCTATACATATATAAACACCCTCTGAGCACACTTCCGGTCATTCCACATGGTGCTGCAGCGGCAGCTGGAGGGTAGTGGAGGGAGGAGCATAGGATGGGGAGGGGAGGCCAAAAACTGATCACCAACAGGCATAAGATGCAGGTAGGTATTGATATGTCATTCCACGATCATGTCATGATTATGGCGATGAAACTCCGATTCCTGCTCTGATCAAGTCTCCAAGTGCACGCAAATGAAGGAACGATTCGGTAGGTTTACTGGTTTTTATCATAATAAAGGATAAAGGATAAAGCATTTGCCGTTGATCAATCCCTTTTTGGGATGCGGCACGCATTCTACTTCCATTTGTACATTCGTAGTGGCATTTGAATGCGATGTGGCCTATACAATGACTTGCGGGGGCCAGCCGATGTTCAAGTCAGTGTTTTTTATCCTCCCAGACAAGTCTGGTACCAATTAACCGACCCCGGAGGGATGGAAGGCTTGGTTGGCCCGGGCGACTCACGACCCAGGATTTGATCCCCGGACCGCTCTCGTGGTGAGCGCGCCACTTGTCACTACACCAGTTCCGCCCGGTTTTTATCGTAGGATTCCTTAGGCATTGTTCATAGTTTTGGAACCATCGGAATATTCGAATCTGCGAAAAGAAAAAGATACGTATCGACCAGGTGAATTTCCGCGCACGCGCGAACGCGGATGCGAAAAGGTTTAGATACGTATCGACGTAGTAAACCACGCCCTATTAGCGTTGCTAGAGGATTTTCGCACCGCCGTTTCGATGCTGCGATCTCCGATTGACTGATCGATAGACACTAATTCCTTTCAAGAGGATTCGCAGATTCCAATGCGCGATTCGAAGCCCCTCCCATTTTGTGGATCGATACGCACTTCATTCATTTCGCATTTGCGCAGATTCGTTCGGTTCGAGCGTCCTCCTCTCGTGGCGCAAACTATGAACAATGCCCCTGCTCTGATCAAGTCTCCAATGCAAGCAAATGAAGGAACGATTCGGTAGGTAACTGGTTTTTATATATAAAGGATAAAGGATAAAGCATTTGCCGTTGATCAATCCCTTTTTGGGATGCGGCACGCATTCTACTTCCATTTGTACATTCGTAGTGGCGTTTGAATGCGATGTGGCCTATACAATGACTTGCGGGGGCCAGCCGATGTACAAGTCAGTGTTTTTATCCTCCCAGACAAGTCTGGTACCAATTAACCGACCCCGGAGGGATGGAAGGCTTGGTTGGCCCGGGCGACCCAGGATTTGATCCCGGACCGCTCGCGTGGTAAGCGTGCCACTTGCCACTACACCACTTCCGCCCGGTTTTTATCGTAGGATTCCTTACTCTTCATCGCCCTACTGTATGGAAAGTGGAAGACGTAAAGCAGACGCAGGAAAGGAAGGTTCCGGTGGTTGACGGGAGACCAATCTGGTGAAAAACAAAGGCTGAAATTCGTATCGCATTCAATGGGTTATTTCTTTGTTTTTTCTTCTTTCTATGAATTTCTATTTTATAGGGATCTTCTGTAGGGGTTTATGTGTGAAAAAGGTGAAGTAGCACATCAAAGATTATCGTAGAAGGGTCAGAAAGGGATTGTCTTGCAGGGTTGTTCTGCAGACAAGCATTGGTGAGATCGAATATGTGTAGCATGGACTTTCCTGTGCCTTTCTTCGAGAACTTTTAAGCTCCACATTGGAAGATTTCTAGAAGAGACAGAAAAACCTTGCCTGAGATTGAGCATCTCAACGATATGTGAATTGAAACTCAGAAACTACTACGAAAAATTGACGAAAAACATTTAGAGGCCGTACAGAAATTATGATGGAGCTTTGTGGATCGAGCAGCAACAGATGGATAAGGACAAGTAAATATAGGAAAAACTCAGTCATACAAATACTCTTAACCCATTAACCTGAATAGTAACACTATTTTCTGTACTACTGAAGTGAAATCAACTTATGAAGCATGCCGTCATGCTCCTATGGAGGTTAGACAAGTAGAGTAAATTGATACAAAGGTTAACAGTAAGGTGAAAAAAAGAAAACGGTGATGAAAGAACAGTTCACTGTCAAAATCTTGT